GATGGGTGAGTCAGAGTCATCAGACAGAGCTGTCCCTAGACTCTACTTCCTCCCTTTGGAAGGCATGACAGTGGGATTGAGGAGGTACTCAAAACATTCGTTCTTCAACTGACTATATCCTCGGTCAAAGTCCACTCCAAATGCAATATACACTGTGTGGCTAAAACACCACTCTCCCTTCTTTGTTACTTACGGTTTGCCAGAACTGCTTCCAGGCAAACCAAAAGTCTTGTTACATGACCTCACCTAACTGCTCCCACACCTGAATCTTTGCTTCAGCTACTGCCAGAGCTGCACACCACTCAACCTGCTTGTACCTGTCAGTTGCCTCTTGAGTCTCACGAGTTAACAGAGCTCGATGGGGCTCCTTCAGCTCTTCTCTCTTCAGTCCACCATCCAGTTTAGGGATTACCACCATGACAGACAGCAACCACTTCGTGGATCACTCTTCGTCTGGCTCCTCACCCAGGATCAATTTCCATTTGAAGATCTACGGGACACACAAACCTATCCACTATGGTAAGGTGGGAAACAATGAGCTAAAATAAGAATAAAGAGAGCATCTAAAAACAAACAAGAGACAAATGCCAAAACTCAAAACTCTGAGACAAGAATCGTGAAAACAGCACAGTAATTCAGTTTTAACGCTGCACAATTTTTTTCCTCACGTGTTCCTTCTTCCTCGCATTAACAAACTTATGTTAACTTTAACTTTGACAAACATCACCACAGGAGGTAAATGTTCTTACGTTTCAAGCGCATTTCTTATTTATGTGCACTGACTGAGAAGAAAATATGCAGTTCACCTTTGAAATCATGATGTTTCTACAGTGTAACAACCATAATTATTACCTTCATCCTCGCTAAAAGGACTAATCGTCAGTTTAATGCTACCGAATATGTTTCATGATGTACTGGCTATGCTATAAAACTAAGATGGAAAACCATTAAGACTGTAACCTCAAATTATCTGCTATTAAATGACTTTTTATAACCATTTACTCCTCATATAACTAAAATGACCTCAAAGTTCACTGGCAGTCAGGTACAAAAATCATTTTGAATGAGTTTAAGTAAAATTTCTGTACATTTGCATCCCCAAAAATATATTTCAGACATTTGTAAATTAAATTCATGGAACATTAACATCATGCTACACCTATTTTGATGAAAGAAAATCCAGCCGTATTTAAAACATTTTAAAAATACAGTTGTTAAAAATAGCTTCTTTATCTCTTTAGAATGGCGTGATTACAAAACACGGATACGATTGTTACAGCTAAAGACTCGTTCAGTTCCAAACACGATGGACTACCCTTCGACACCCTGTAATAATCAAACGAAAGAAGACGGACAAAGAAAGGCAGATAAAAGACCCGAGGAGACCGTTCACCTCTGCCTGAACAATTTTCAACGTAATTGAGGCTGAAATACAATCACAATAGCCGTCTTCCGAGTCAGGGTGTCACATGAGGCAACTAATTGGGGGCAACCCCTTGTACGCCACGCAGCGATTAAGAGGGAAATGGCATTGGAGGATTGTAACAAGTTTAATTGGGTGTGTTGAATAACTTGATAACTTTTGAGGTTTCTGCTCACTCGTGCGATCGCTACATTACTGGTTCTCTTCCAAGAATAGCGGACGTAGCTTCGAGGAAAAAGGGCCCTTACAAAAAGGTGAAGCAACAAGGATGTCCATAATTGGCCACAAATCAAAGCATCTCTATTAGATTTGCACCTGCTTTTTTTTTAAACATAGAATAGGCTGTGATGTCTCTGTCTTTGAAGAGAAGCTTGATTTTCCATTTGGAGCACGGAGTTGTAACTGGATTTGTGATAAACAGGATCAAAACAAAAGACCTCATGCAAAGCAGATTGCAAATTGCCCGCTGAACAAAAGATCTAAGGAAAATGATTAAAACAAGTTTTTGTTTACTCTGATCTTGACAAATGTCTACATTTGCAGTGTGCTTTGTGCAAATTACAGTATCATATAAGTTAAAAGAAAGACATGAAAGCAGAACAGTTAATTGCACGGTAATATAGAAAAGTAGGTCTGATATTTTAGGAAGCTTTGTCAACTCAATTTATTATGAAACATGTTTTTCCCCCTCCTTGTAAACAGTCTGTGGTATTTAAGCGTACCTGAATTTATGCTACATCTCTATGAGGGGAAATTACCTTCTGTGATGTGATAGCGAGTCTACGCCATTGTCCAACCTGGAAAGTAAAAGCAATTCACAGGGATACAAAAAAAAGATTCTCACACATTTCCTGAAAGACCCGAGAGATACATTGGAGGTGGGGTGATGGAGAGAAAGACACCGAGAGTGGGGATACGCTGGTTTCCATAGCAATTGTCGGTACTGTCACATGGTTACCTAGGAACTAGTCCTTGTGATGCTGTGCAATTTATTTGTTTATGTTCGGCATGTCTGCAGCTGTCGCTAACATGAAAAACACCCAAAGTCTTCCATTTCATTTCTGACACATACAGAGCTGTTATATGAAATCGGAAAGGTCAGAGTTTGAGAGATTACAATAAATGACAAAAATAAAAATAATAAAATATTATCGGACATTATTCCACTGAGATAATAATTACCTTCTTAGAGTTAGAAAACACAGGGCCATAACCAGGTCACGAGGAATATTGAGTATGGCACCGGCTGATCAATGCTCGGTGGATGTGTACAACAGACAGTAAAAGCAAACTATTCATGGGTCACACTGAATGCAGATTAAATGCAAAAGCCGACTTGGGTCATTAATGGAAATACGAATCACTCTTCAAAGCCAGAGTGTCACCTTTGATGAACAAAACCAAATGTATTACTTATCTGAAAGCGTTCTTTTTTTTCCCACCCTCTGGTTAACAGAAATGGAGACGCTACAAGCAGCAAGATTACGTAAATCAAATTACAACAGATCTGATTAATTAAAGATACAGAAATAAAATGCAGGCTAATCTTATGATTGCTCAGACACAAATCAAAATGAGTCAATGCATTTCATTGTTTTTAATATTGCTGATAATTTAACTGCAGTACTGTGAATGAAAATGTATTTGCAAACATCTTAAAGCAATTTTTTTTTTTACGTATTACCAAAGCTGCTGACACAAGTTATAAATCTCAGCCAATGTTGCGCTGATTTAGCAGTGTTAGAAAAATGAATGTATCACAGTTTCATGTACTTACAGTATGAAAGGGGGAAAGAGGGAAGTGCTTTCACGTGACAACAAGGGTGTAATAATGTTTACAGGCTTGACGAGTGGCTTAGAGCTCATCTGCCAAACGAGAACACCGCCTTGATTAAAACCTCCACCCCTGTGATTGACTAAAACCCACCCTTCTTCTAATCAGAGATCACTGCAATCACAAGTCTCTACAGGGTGCTGAAACATGATTACGCAAATGTCACTTTCACTTGAGAAAAAGAATCTCAATTACAAGCAACTACCGAGCACAAGGGACCATGATACGGCAATCACCATCAAATTTGAAAAACTTTTTTTTTAAAGCATATGTATAAATTCTTCATTTTTCTGCTAAAAAATAGATGACCTTTCGTTTAAAGACTTTAAACATACAAACAAATACAAGTTCTGCTTTAGGCTTTTGTCATCCTCCAGTTCAGCATAACTATATAGTGACCCCTGCTGGTCTGGTAGCTTCACTGCATTGTACACATGGGTGATTAAAAATGCTTTAAAAATTCATGTATAAGAATTTACAGTATGTCACTACAAGAGAGCAGAGTTTTGAGTTCTCAGTGAATATATCTAAAAGAAAAAGATTTCCAGTATTAACAGTAAAGACATACAGCAACTGTCAACAAAAACTATCCAGCCATGGTCTGAGTAAACCCCATCACTCAGGTCACTAACGCGCACACACTCTATTCAGACCATTCAGACTGTTAAGCTGTTGTCTGCAGTCTGTCTGTGTTTAAGTAAGGTAATATAAGTGGCTATATTTTTAAAATAAAACTGACCTTAAAAATGTATCTTTAGCTTTCAAGCTCTGATTGTATTTTACAAGCCAATTAACTTTTTTTAATGTATTTTAAAAGTAAAATTGAGTTAAGAAAAAAAAAGTTTGTTTCAAGCTCTGGTTATACAACCTTACAGTGCAATATTTTCTCTTTTATGACTTCAGTAATATATGAAGGCAAGGGTGAGAATAACACACTGTCCTTTCTTTATAGTACCCTAACGTAGATGGCAACATATTCTGGAAACTACAATATAGACGCTAATGATACACAACTCAAACAATTACACTGACCTCATGTAACTCTTTCTAACTAGCAAGATCTCACTTTAAACAGAAGATAAGTCTCCTTAGAGACCGTCAAAAATTGCCATTGCCGACTATATTTCAAGTCGTCAAGGCGGGGTATTGGGTAAAGTTTTCAACTAGCAATAATCGCGCCTCGGATAAACCTCATAGGCTACGATACTGCCACTGCGCAAAGCTGAGGAGCTACTTCGCCGACAGGGTAGTCTCTCTGGGCCCTACACCTTTCTGTTAGGGTTTTAACCGTGGGCGTGGCTTTAACATGCACGATTTATAGAGCTGTAATTAGACGTATATATAGCTATAAACAATATTAGTTGCACAGAATATCCAAAATAAAAAATATACATAAAAATCCTTGCGAATGACAATGTTTTGATCATGAACAAAACACAAAAGCGCTCCTTGTAATCCAAAACAACATCATCACGTGTGAATGCACGTGATGGCTTGTTATCGATGCGTGTAAAATCACGGGCAAACCGCCTGAGTAACTAAATAGCAACAACAAAAATTATAAATACAAGTACTGGAAATAACTTGTAACCGGAAGTGACGTGCCCTGGTACGTCACTTTAGGGCTCCCGCATTCACCCAGAAAGTTTTAACCGTGCCATTCTCGAAGTACTCCACACATTTATAGCAATACAACAGTGGTGAATGTGTTTGATTAGAGTTCATTTTTAACAAGAAGATGAGTCTCCTTAGAGACCGTCAAAAATTGCCATTAGCCGACTATATTTCAAGTCGTCAAGGCGGGGTATTGGGTAAAGTTTTCAACTAGCAATAATCGCGCCTCGGATAAACCTCATAGGCTACGATACTGCCACTGCGCAAAGCTGAGGAGCTACTTCGCCGACAGGGTAGTCTCTCTGGGCCCTACACCTTTCTGTTAGGGTTTTAACCGTGGGCGTGGCTTTAACATGCACGATTTATAGAGCTGTAATTAGACGTATATATAGCTATAAACAATATTAGTTGCACAGAATATCCAAAATAAAAAATATACATAAAAATCCTTGCGAATGACAATGTTTTGATCATGAACAAAACACAAAAAGCGCTCATTGTAATCCAAAACAACATCATCACGTGTGAATGCACGTGATGGCTTGTTATCGATGCGTGTAAAATCACGGGCAAACCGCCTGAGTAACTAAATAGCAACAACAAAAAAATTATAAATACAAGTACTGGAAATAACTTGTAACCGGAAGTGACGTGCCCTGGTACGTCACTTTAGGGCTCCCGCATTCACCCAGAAAGTTTTAACCGTGCCATTTCAAAAACTGAGAGGATAGCCAATGATACAAACTTATAAAACACACAGAACATACGATATTAAGTACGAATTAAAACTGCGATTCACACATTTACTCAACAAAATGTGAATAAATAAGGCATCATACTCTTCATTATTAAACGCGAACACCGTAGCCCATAATAAAACCATTTCAATACTTTAACTACCAGCTAGCTTCTCGAAGTATTCCACACATTTATAGTAATACAACAGTGGTGAATGTGTTTGATTAGAGTTCATTTTTAACAAGAAGATGAGTCTCCTTAGAGACCGTCAAAAATTGCCATTGCCGACTATATTTCAAGTCGTCAAGGCGGGGTATTGGGTAAAGTTTTCAACTAGCAATAATCGCGCCTCGGATAAACCTCATAGGCTACGATACTGCCACTGCGCAAAGCTGAGGAGCTACTTCGCCGACAGGGTAGTCTCTCTGGGCCCTACACCTTTCTGTTAGGGTTTTAACCGTGGGCGTGGCTTTAACATGTACGATTTATAGAGCTACTGTAGAATTAGCCGTATCATTTACCGCAAACTCACGCAAATGAACACAAACACGAGAAAGCTGGGATTATACTGATGCAAAACACACCGAAGCGTTCCCCTTATCCTAAACAATGAACTGGCGGGGCTGGCAGGTAGTGTTGAATGTAACTGCGGTTAAATACCCAGGGGGCTTATCAGTGTGAATAAAGTCAAATATAAATGTTAAAAAAAAGATGAATTAAGAGAATTTACTTTTAAGTGCAGCGGATATATATATCATAATTAAGCGCTATGGATTTAAAAAAGGAAATGACGTAGTCTACGGTACGTCTATCAATGTGGGCTCGGGAACTGAGCAGTTCTCAAAATCATCACAATAAACCAACAGTATAGCTTGCTAACCTTTCAACATGAGCTAGTTAAAATGTACAAACACTTAATATAATTGTTTCAACGTAATTTAGATAATAGAGTTCATTTTTACAAGAAGATGAGTCTCCTTAGAGACCGTCAAAAATTGCCATTGCCGACTATATTTCAAGTCGTCAAGGCGGGGTATTGGGTAAAGTTTTCAACTAGCAATAATCGCGCCTCGGATAAACCTCATAGGCTACGATACTGCCACTGCGCAAAGCTGAGGAGCTACTTCGCCGACAGGGTAGTCTCTCTGGGCCCTACACCTTTCTGTTAGGGTTTTAACCGTGGGCGTTCATGTTTTTGTTTTGATAATTTTACGGTCCCTTGATCACAATCACAATCGTTCACTTGTCCACCGCCGATGTTTGCCGAAGTATGCACCATTGGTTGTTTAAAATTATTTAGAAATTGTTACCAAGCCGCAGTGCATCATGGGACATTCATTCCTCTACTGTCGTTTCAGCCCCGCCCTGTCCTTCATTTAGAGCTTCACGCTGCCCAGAAAATGCTTACACGCAAATAACACACCAAATAGCTGTTTTTTGATTGTTTTTTAAATTAACATTTTACCACGGTTGGCAGCTTCCTTCGATAGTCAACGCTTCAAACGTCCAGTGGGTTCAACAACGTTATTATAAAACACCACCAGATGTCAGTATAGGCACGAATACGCCTGCTTAGGTTTCAGCAAAGGCCTACATTACTGAAAAAATAATACGAATAAATAATAATAAATAATTAAATACACAGGAAGGCCTGCGTGTATCTCCTAATTCCAAAATACATGTAAAATACTGTAGGCTTCAGATGCTATGTCTATTAACTACTGGTTAGTTGAAATCGCATGTAGACCGCAGATTTAAGTTTGTGTTGGCCTGACTGACGCCACCTGACCATCACACGGTTATTTATTACCGTCCAAATACGTTTAACATTATCACGAGGGGATGAACGAGCAAAACAACTAGTGAAAGTGAATGAAGTCTGCAGACATAGATGCTAAACAAAGCTCAACAAAGCTCAAGGCCCACCCTGAAACACACTGAAACTGGTGTTTCTCACCTGCATCCTCCTGCTCGTCGTCTGCCGAAAAGTTAAATTTAAAATGGGAGGAGGGAACAAATTTGGCAGTCATTATAGTGTTATATATAAATAAATAAAAACTAAGTCGGGGACTCAAGGTAAAGTAATTTCCTAATTTCCTTTTTCCAATTCCAGTTGAAACGATGCACTCCCGGGTGATCCTCGGTAAAACTAAGTGGAAGGAATGAAAAATGACCAGACCGGAAATTGATTAAACACCTCCCCATCGCCATCACCACCCTTGTGGGGTTTTTTAAAGTAAAGATATGTGAGTGTGTAATGGATTGCCTTTCATATTGCTTTAAACAAATTCCATATTTGCAGAAGGGCCATTAATTTTCCACTGATCCAGAGACTATTTTAGACTGTCATCTGTGGAAGCATGGGGCTTTGAATATTTATATCCCTGAGAAAGTTCTAAATACGTAAACTGCACTGTTGTTAGCAGTGTTAGAGTTCAAAATAAGTACCAACTCAACCTGCCGCTGGTTTAAATCCTTCTTTTAAATTAATGCATGAGTAACAATGATCAAATTATATAATATGTGATACTAACACTCACAAGGGATGCACTGTATTGAGTACTTTTCAGTTTTAATACTTTAAGTCCATTTACGTGACAAAACTAATGCACAAAATTCACTCTACAAAGCACAGGTTTGGGGATAAAGACTTAATTCTTGGGCATATTTGATCATCAGTATAGCTCAAAAGCTTAAGTGTAGAGTTTTAATGAAGCTCCCTTGAGTATGAGTTGAAGAAGCAACACTATTCTTTGTTTCATCAGTTTTGAAACCCTCTCAGTGTCGACCACCGGAAGACAGGGTGCTGAAAATCATGAGGTGTATCTCATGCTGTATGTGTATTTTTCATCAGGTTATTAGCCCCTCATAATGGCGCGTACTTTGCACGCTGTGTGTCTGATGCAGTAATTTCACTGTGTGGATATTAGAGGCCTTTTTCACTTGTTGTGAAGCTTCAGTAGGATAATGCAGGTGCTTTTGGGTGCTCAGCAGATAAGCACTGGCGTGCCAGGTGTTAAAGCTGCCTGGGCTGACACATTAGACAGGGATTTTTCTACTGCCAGAATGTCAGGCCAATGAGGCTCATAGAGGTAGGCTTGGATCACTGTCAGGGACAGGTAAGTACGCAGATAAGGGGATTACACCATGTTTGTGCCAAGTAATCTCAAATGAATCCTGCCAGCCTCTGTTTCATCCTCACCTGCAAAGCTCAAATTTGTCTTTTCTCATCCCAAGAAATACATTAGACGAACAAAGTTCAATTCACAAGATGATCCTTTTAACCTGGCTTTAAATGAATTTGAGGACACGCCGGGCTATGGTCACTTAACAACTGTGACAGTAATAATCTCTTCTAATTCTCTGAGGCACCTGATTGCTTTTTTTGGTATTAGTATAGTCCCTTTTATCACCAGCTCTGCCCAGTCAAGCAACGTGTGGGTTTTATAATCACCTGGACAGTGTAATAAAATGAGATCTGGCTTGGTGGTCCCTCGCTGCAAGGCTTAAACTTGACCTGTTGAACAAATAGGAGTCTGTGAGAGTAGCTGAAAGTCCCTTTGGGCTGTGGCTCTCCCCCGCTGGTAGGCAGACTGATGAAAATAGAGTGTACCAGATGGCTTAGCTGTTTCCACTGTTCAGCACAGGCTGCTGGGCAGCCCACATAAAAAACATGGCATCCAAAAGGGGCTCAGTGGAAAGCCCATAGCCTTCAACAAGCTGAGAGCTATTTTCCTCCTGAACCACCAATCACAAGGCTCATAAAAGAGGAGGAAAAAAATCGCTGTCACATTCAAGTCATGATCTAATCTGTCTTGCACCATGTAGAGCAGCTTGTAGTATTTTAAGAAACGCTGTTTTGGTTTGAGAAAATGAAAGATTTCCAGTCAAATCCACTCTGTGTATGCACCAAGCGGGCTTATCCAGCTTTTTTCACAAAGTGCAGCTTACTCTTTTTATTCCCACATTTCCAGACGCTGTCAAGGACAAGGCAGCTCTTGGATTCTCTGATCAGAGTCTCAACAGGAAACAGGCAGGACACACATATAAGTGCAACCGGTGGATTTATGCATTTGTTTACTTACAAGAGTACGGCTGGACGTAAAGAGGCCATTGTGTAATCTGGTCTGTGTCACATCAGCCTGGTTAAGGACATTTATTAATGCTAAAACCCCCTCTATTAGCTCTCAGAGTGAGGCCACCTGGACCATACAGGATGAGCTGAGCGAGCTGTGATTAGATTGCGATATGAGCAGAAGGCGAAGGAAAACAATGACATTTTTCTTGGGTAAAATGACAGTTCGGCTGGTCTGAAGGGGCATCTGATAACACAAGACAAATGTTTCTTACTATGCCTTTTAGGTTCTGCAAAGACACCTTCAGCATTGCAGTTTTACTTCCGTAGATCAGTAAGTTTACATGATACACATTAACTGTACATATCTATATATTCAACCACATCAGCCTCCATTAAATATTGTGTTTTTCTGTCTCTCTGACACACACACATGCAAAATAAAAACACACACACAC